CCGTTCAACACAAATAGTACATAAATACAAATCCTAGTTATATAATATAAATTAATTATATTCTAAGGAAAAGGTTTAGACTTGATAAAAATTTAATATAAAAAAATTAATTGCTAAAGGAAAAATGTTAGTCTCCACCCGTTTATAAAATATTCTCCCTATTTATACTATTTCTTATGAGTCCAACTTATCCAACCAATCGCATAACGTAATTTTCCATAAATTTGTGGGATATTTTTATGTGTATAAATTGTTTTGCTAATCCGAGTAAACAAAAAACAAATTTATTCAACTAAAGGCTTGCTCAATTATATAATATGAACATAATTTAATGTCACTTCCCTCTCAGTGCTCTCTAACAAGGGATGTACGATGGGAGGGGGGGGGGGGGCTCTGTGTTATTGGCTTAGGAAAGTCTATAAAATTCTATTCTCAAATTTTTTTAAATTAAATTTATTAATACTTTTTAATTATTATTTTATATTTTTAATATACCAATCTGCCTCAATATAAAAAAAAGACCAACAATTTCTCATGACACACAATTTTTTAAATTATAAAACTCATGAAGGATTTATATTTTTTAAATGAACCTTTAAAAAGTTATAGTTCAATCCTTTACCTATGTAAAAAAATTTAAAAAGATATATTTTTCTTTAGTAGATCTCTAAAAATTCTATTTTTTTGACTCAAGCCTGACCGAAATTTTTATTAATTAATAAGCTTGAGATTTTTACATATGTTTAGGTAGAGCCCACTTCGGGACAAATTTTTATTTTAGATCTGAGCTCAGTCCAGAATTTTTAATTAAAATGTATAAATTAAGTGCATTAAATGGCCATTTGCTTTGTCCACAGAAAAATTCGAATTATCATTTTATATTGATAAAGGAAGAGAAAATATCATTTTCTATATTATTTTTTATAAATTTTAACCTTTTATTATCTAGCCATTTTAAAATTATCATAAAATCAAAAATAGGACTTGATTGACTATAAAAGGTCCACCATATGCTTTTAAAAACCTTCATAAGGTTAAATTTTAGTTATGTGACCCTTTGCTTAATTGACCCAAATTTTTTTAAATGGAATAGTGTCAATTAATTTCATGAGTCTTCTCATAATTCCCCATTATATTTCTTATTTGGATACATTTCTGATATATCTATTCTAATATCTAACAATCATCTCTTGTTTGAATGATTATCACCGGGCTCTATCCTTTTGAAGCACGTATCCACCTGCCGAAAATATAAAACTTTTTGATCGGTAAATTCCTAAAAGAATACATCTTTAAATAACATTGCCCCAAATAAAGGGCACCTTTAATCAAATATCTCATTACAAATTAATTTGGAGGTTCCGGAAAGCCGAATTATATTCACTTGAGATACCTCTAAGTATTTTAAGCCTTTTTTATTATAATTGTACCCGATCATATTTTTTAAAAGTTTATCTCAATTTTCCTTGCAACTTTTCTAGACAATATGCAACTGTGCTCTTTGATTTTTGAATTTTATCTTGAACTCTAGGTCTATGATTTTTTTTAGATCAGCAGCAATTGCGATTTCCCTTATCTATTGGCATCAGTTCTAATTAATAAGTATTCACTTTCGCCAATCATGAGATAGGAAGAATGAACAAATTAGGAAAAATTTAGTTTTTTTAAAATTATTTACTTAATATTATATTAACAAATAAAAAACTCTTTTGAATATAAATCCGTCAATACCATTCGATTTTATATTGTGGCTTTTTTTTCGAATCCCTACCCGTTTTAAATCTTGCCTTAATTCTGAAATGGCTGGAATAAAATGAACGTTTCAACGTTTACATACATAAAAAATTATATTCTAGATATCCTTAAGACCTCATTTTTAGTAAACGCGTTATGTTCAAGAGTTGCGTTATTTAACCTTACGTTATTAATTAAGCCAATAAATAGGTGCAAATTTTTAAATATGAAACATTATGATGATAACGCTATGATAAAATTTTAAAAACATATGTTGCCATATGTTGATAAAATATATGCGATACGAAAAGGTATATTTTTCTTAAATCTTAGTTTAATCTTAAATTAGTTATTAAAACTGAATCATAACACTGCGTTAAATAACACAAATCTTGAAGATATCGCATTTACTATAAAGGGCTAAAGCTTCTTTTAAAAAATTAACGTTCTTATATATTTTTTTTAATTTTAAAAAGAACGTTGCACGAAAATAAATGGTAATTATGTTACTACCAAGTAAACATATAGCAATTTGTTAAACAACAACCAGATTTTCTAAACAATGAACAATTTTTAAATGCAATAAGACCCCTTTTACTTGTGATATATATAAATATTAAGAAATGGAATCACCCGGTCGTTTTCGATTAACTATATATATGATATATGCCTTGTAGCATACATCCAGCTAATTAGAGCTTCGGAAGAAAAAACTCGATCCTTGCTAAATTTGATGTAAGATCTATGCGATTATTGATAAACACTCCCAGATTAGCAGACCATTTTAGAAAACTATAATTTTTTATTATATATTATAACTATATGTGGTAGTGTCGATCCAAACAAAAAAATACAAAATACCGATTCGTTCAATACTGCCTTTAGTGATAATAACTAACAACAATCAAAAAAATAAACTATCGTTTTCTGGCAGAGTAGTATATGTTTAAATTTAATTTTTCAGAGGAGGACAAAATTTTCAAATAACATAAAAATTCTCTAAAATATATTTTAAAAATAACGTTTTATTTTTTCCCAGGAACCACTCCTTTCTGGGTGTCCCTGGTAAGAAACTTTTTTAAATTTATAAATGAAAGTTAATATTTTAAATTTAAATAAAAATATTTAAAAAAATAAACATTTACATATAAGATCTTCATATATTCTAAATCTATAACCGTCAAGCCCAAATTAACCCCGTTACTGATAGTATTATTTTCTTAACGTTTGTCTCTATTAAGCATTTATAAATGTTAATAAACGATTTTTAGGTTTACTAAAAAAAAAAAATTCGTTTTTTTTCACGTTAATGGTGCTATATTGAAAATTGACTTTTAAATAATGACTATATGTCTATAAAGAGGTCTGCAATGAGCGAAATTTTTATCATAAAAGTGTTGTGTTTTTAATTATTTTATAATTCATATTATCTTTTGTTTGTACAATATTCGTTTCTTTTTTTATTTGCTACAATTTATATTTTTCTTTGTTTGTACGATATTCGCTTATACCGAGCCTGTTTTGATTTTATCCTCAAAACTGGTTCTAGCCAGTTTTCGAGATTGACGATAATATTTTGTTATTGTTGTTTAATTGTAAAAGGGGTATTATATATAGACCCCCCAAAATGAATTACGACCATTAAAATTACGTCGTTTTGCTTCTTGATTATTTTTATTGTAGATATATTGATTCTTTTTCTTGATTACCTATGGAGTAAAATAAAATTCGTGTTACGATAATTTCCAGTCTTGGTTATTGAGATTCTATGACTAAGATGATAGCCAAATCCGGTCCCCTTGTCTTCTTTATCGACAATCCCGGATTCCCGAACTCCGTAGAGATGTTCTCCTCCCCGATGGTGGGACCCGATGGTCAAAATACAACTAAAAGCACGCTTGCACATTGTTTTAAATATTTTATAACCCGTCCGCTTATAGGTTTTCATACAAAAGATACATGCCTGCTTGCTTTAAATTAAACTGACTGCCTTTTTGAAAAAAATCACCCGCTCGCTTACTTTGCATTCACACTTAGCGCGAATTAGTGACGAAGTATAAAAAAAATTAATGTAAAATTATTATATTTATATCATATTTTATAAACATCGCCCTGAATTCGCGATAATTGTGAATACAGGGTTAATTATTACCACATATAAAAATAAAAATTCAATAGTTAAGATAATATAATATAAATATAATTGTTGGATTTAAATTTATTTCCTCATATCAAAAATAAAATAGTAATAAAATATTTATGATTATTTTTATTTAAAATAATGAAAATAAAATGTTTTTTGTTTAAGTTCTTATTTTAAAAATATGTCAGAAGAATAAAATGCAGATCCATTTTAAAAATAACATTTTTCAATCCGCCAGCCCATTATTTAATTTTTTAATCCGCCCTTATTAAATGGGCAGGAACCCTTCATTGCAGAGCTCTATCAGGGACCGCTTTTCTAAAATAAACAAAAATTACAAAAACTTGGTGTGAAAATTTATAATCCCCCCCCTCCCCATGGATTTCGTATTGCCCAATACAAATTAAACAATATTGTTGAATGTTGTCTTATTTACTTTATAGATTGATTAAATTTTTTATCGATTTCTTTAACAGTTTGGAACCGGATAGAGTGATTCAAAGCAAAATATGGAAGTATTCAGATCAGCCAAATTATTTTCATAACCCAATAAACTGAATATTGATATGATGATGGCTACAACATTAATTTGCGTAAAATCGAAGAAGAGGTGATATATATGCCCTTTTTGAAAATAATACCCTAGCCCATATAAATGTTTTAAGTTTTTTTATAATTGATTTTCCTGAATTAATCATATCGTATCCCTTACCATTCATTATATATATTTTAATAATTTGATATGTAATATTTTGATTTTGCAAGATTTAAACTTACCTAATTAAATTTATATTATTCCAATTATGCAATTTCTCTCTCAGATTTATTATGCCTTTTGAAGGGACTATTTGATATTTTTATAAAAATTGATTTATATAAACAACTGAACTGGAAATAATCCAAACATTTGATTTGCAAATTATTATGATTTAAGCGTTTAGCTTTTTTCAAGGTCAAGTTTACCTAATTTATACTAAAAATTATTTACCGATTTATATTTCTATCGCGAAAATCTATTGTGATCTTTAAAGCGGACTATTGATATTATTATAAAATAAAACGAGAAGCATATGTTATTTCATATTATTTGGCATACATTTTTAAACAAAATATTTATCATGACGTATTGCCAAATCCCAATCTTAGTGCTGTTTTTTTGAATATATAAATCAAGTGGTATAAAACAAATTTATTTTATTATAGAAATTCTAAATTTAAATATTACGAAAATGCCAGCGGAAACATATTTTTATAGTAAACCTTCTCCTTACTCATTTGAAGAGGTAATTATTTTTTTAAATAGTATATCGATTGAAAAATTATTAGTTTAAAAAGCCTTACAACGAATCTGGACAATCTTCCCACCACAATATGACTGGAAAAAAGCGTACTTATCATGATGATAGTTATGGCGATTTAAAATTAAAGCATGATTTATCCCCTTTACGGCCTTTATATTCAACTCCATCTTATAACGTCAATCTCATTCGAGAGAAATCATCGCCCTCTTTGGAATATACCTCGTTTATGCGACAACCCCCTTACACTTCAACTTCGTCACCCTCTTATGTTTATAATATCAAACCAAAATCCGGTATTAATACGGAAATCGACAATTATTTAAGTGCTTGCATCTACGATTACCCACCTAAGAGTGATTTAAGTGTAGGGTACAATCCTAGTTATGGTACTTCTTATCGATATAGTTTTCCATATTCGTATTATCCAGCTTATAGCTCCTATTCTAGCAATTCTTATCCACTATGGACGAGCTTTAGATCATCATATCCTAATTATTATAGCAGTTCGAATTATTCCTCGCGATATGATTATGGTGGATATCCCTCTCGCAATTACGACTTATTGGATTATGAAAAAAGTTATTATTCTGAATATTACCCCACCAAGCATAGTTATAAAGACACAGGTAGCTATTATCCTGCTGGAAAATACAATAATTATGCTGTTTATTATCCTTACAGTAGATATATCGATACTTATTACCCTTTATCCACTTACAAAAGGGGTCTTAGATCATGTTATAATTTATATTAACACATAAATTTATATTTTCTGCGAATCCTACTTTGCCAAGACTTCTTTTTATTTACTTACGAAAATAATACTAATCATTTTATCCATTACTCAATATAAAATTTTATATCAAATCATCTGATCATTATATTATTTTTTAAAGTTCAAAAATAATATTTGATAAAATAAAACATATGGATTGTTGTTAATGAATTCATAAGATTAAATTTTCCTTTTTCAAGGCTAAATTTTATATTAATGAATAATATTTTTAAAAATATAATATGTAGATTAAATTTTTGTCATTTTGGATCAGCGTCCCCAGCTTATCAAATAAAAGCCTATCTGTTTCATTATTGGAATTAACCCATTTTTCCCAAGTTAATTTTGTTTTAATTTTCAGTTTTTTTTAAAATGACTTTTCTTAATTATTGGGTGAATCATTTTTTTTAAAATTTTATAGTTTTCGGAACACATCTTAATCAAATTACGGAAATTCACTTTTCTTTTTTTTAGATAATGCATACATTTGGCTTTCTGTTGTATTAATACTCAAATGATTTATTCTATCATCTACTCTTTATACTGTCTGAAAGTTTATTTGTATGTTTCAGTAAAATATAACTGTTAAGTTCATGATAAAGATCAATTAAAAATATTCTACTGTAATATTAAGTCATTACTCTACGGTAAGTGATTTTGAAGTACAAAACATTTGTATTGGCTACCTTTTTTGTTTGGGATGAATAGTGATTTACCATGATTTTTTCTAAAAAAAATAAGAATTTAATTTATTGAACTAATTGAATATCAATGTATAAATCCTTGAACTATAAAATTAAATTTGAAACGAAGAATTTCATAATATTATTTTGAGTTTTCTTTTATATCCTGTGTTAACTGGTTCTGGTTATTATTTCAGAATTTTATAAAAATATATTACTGTGAGAAGTAGGTCATGCAGGACTCGATGAATAAGTGCCTCGACATCACTTCCAGCGGGATTGAAGAGAGTATCAACATTGATCATTATTTCAGAGGTATTTGGGGTAACCTATTTTAGTTAGGAATCAATATTTTACGGCGACAAATATGTTTTTTAACTTTACGTTCGTTAACTACTACCCGTTACAAAAATAAAATATTTAAATATAATCTTTAACAAAAGTAAGATTCGATCTCTTGCTATTTATTATAGTAAAAATAGATCTTATGTGTAATTTATAGGTCGAAAGAAGAGCCTATTTCCTGACTAGTGGATTATAGTGGGTCCTAGTGTCGAAAAGCGTTCAAATTCTCGCGAGAATTTTAAAATTACATTAAATCTACAACAAATTTTATTTAATTTATGTATAATTTTGAAATATAATGCATTTGAATAATCATTTATTCAAGCCTTATAGGTGATTTTTGGTTTTTATATTAAAAGTTATCAAAAAATAAATAAAAGAAATAACGTTAAAACAATATATCGGGATAATAAATGTGCCCACATAAAATAAAATATGAATAATGAAGTTACAATAAAATGTAAAAGAAATCGATAAAGATTATATAGAGATATTTAAAGATTTAGGTTAAAGAATAAAGTGAAAATTACAAAAAATAGGAAAATTTGTTCCTAACAATTATAATATAGAATATGGTTATAAGGAGTTAACGTTATTATATAGATATCTTGATCAAAATAGTAAAGTCCAGAGTTATAACCTCAGGGATAACTCTTCACAGTTAAAGCGAATTCGTGGCCTAGTATATACAAAAATTAATCTTAAAATGATTATATTTATATCATATTTTTTATATTTCGCCGCGAATTCGCGCTATGTGAATGCAGGGTAACATAAATTCTTAATTATCCTTTTTGAAAAGATGAATCAACAGTTTATTATCTGCATGAACCACAAATTTTCGGCCAAATATATATTTCCGCCATTTTTTTATACCAAAAAAGAGCTAGAGCTTCCAGAGAAACCCGTTATTTAGCTGTTTCTACCTCTCTGAAAATTCTTGAAAAAAATAATATTGCCCTTTTGATCCCCACTATCTAATGTGCCCACCTATACTTTTGTTGGAGGCAGCAACAGTCAAAATCCAAATGCTACAAGCACACTAAAATAGTTTCTTAGCAATTTTTAGTTTTAACATTTCAAACGCGACATATTGCTCATTTTTTTCCATTCAAAAAGCACACTCTTTTTTAATTATTCATATAAAAGTGCTGCTAATTTAGCGAAACCCACCGTAAAGCTATGATGATGATTTAACATTCTAAGGAACGATCGTATCTAGTCCATATTCGACTTTCGCACGCATATTTTCTGGCTCATTAAATTTTTATCTAATAATTTTAACATCAATCCTTTGGCTCAAATATATAATTTCGGTGATTTCATTACGCTTTTCTTGATTGGCTTTCAACCCTTTATCAAGGGTTCTTAAAATTTCCTCCAGCCTTTAATTGTGCTGTTTGGGTGTTTTCCCGTTATATTTAAACATTATCTATATAATACAATACACTTTCAAAACCTTAGCACATCGCAGTGTACGCTAGAAAATTGTTGCGGAAACACTTAGCCCAAATGGTAATCGACAAAAGGTAAATAAACCTTTAAATGTCGATATTGACAATAATTTTCTGATTATCTTTCATAGGTAATTACAAGTAAGCAGAAGAAAATCTATTGAAAGAGTATTTTTCCCTTTTAAAATTTGCAAAAATTTCCTCAATCCTTTTTTTATAGGCACCAATGATGTTGAGTAGCATTCGATGGGATAAAGTTCAATACCTTCTTTTTCTATTTTTGTCCGCCTTTCAAACGTTACCAGCGTAACGAGAAGTATTGTGGTATAAATCCATTCTTTAAACTGATATCAACTTAAAAGCATCCGAGTTTTTAGCCAAATATTTTATTTATTTATTCTTTCCCAATGCTTCAGATTCTAGTAATTTCTCTTCCTAAAGTATTACACCCCTTCTGAAAAATTTCTTAGTTTTCGAGTATACCAAGTTTTATCCCTCTCATTTTACTTCAGAGTCTCCTTTGATAAATTTCTTTATTCCCATATTATCGATGGTCAATATATTTTTACCGTTATTCATACATAATCTTTATATTTAAATTATATGGTATTTATTATTTTTCAATTTTTTATTTCGGACTATTTGTTTTTTATCACATAATATTTAAATTTTTCTAGGCCATATTTTTCATTTCGAAATTCATTATATTTAAATCGTCAGGAGTAAACTAATATATACATCTGATCATTTTTCATCTTTCAAGACATAAAGTACAAATAAATAGAGAACAGTTTTCATTTTTGAAAATTTTTTAAGGTTTTTTATAGATGTATCACTAAACCTAAAGCTAAACATTACAATAATAAGATAAAAGTGAGTAAAATATAATAATAATGAAATATAACTTTTCTGAAAAATAGTACCATACAGACCTTACCTCATTTTTTTGGAAAAAAAGACATTACATTTAACTAGGTACTAAACAACATTGGTAATCAGGGACTTACCCCCTAAGACACTTGCAACTTTTTGTCCTCAAGTCCAACAAATAATAAAAAAAAATACTGGGCAGATTAATTTTGATCAAACCAGAGGAACCGATAGAAGGGTTCTTCCTTCGTCAAATTCTTGCAATCTAAGTCATCTAATCAAATTTTTATTGTCTTAACTCATTCTCTACTTGACTATCTTTTATTCTGATCTCTCCCCACCTTTCCTCTCAAAGTAAAACATATTACTTTTCCTTATAAATTTTTTTCGGGGTGTTTTAAATTCAGCTTTAGTTAGCAGTAGGAATAGTTCATTTAAATCATAGCTTTTATATTATTAAATTATAATTGTTTGTATTTCCTATTGATTAAATTCACCTTTTATATAAATTATATTTTTTTATCACAATTTTACTTTTTCTATATTTTGTTTAATACGTTGACTTACACTTTTCAATTTTTAATACTAACGATTTTTTTATTTTTTATTGCGATATATATGTCAGAGACCAGAGTTGTTAAAGTAGCGCGCTATCTTTTTTGGTAGCTAATAGCCGCTACTTTTTTAAAATTATTTAATTTTTTAGCGCGAAGTAGCGCGCTACTTCGCTACTTTTAAAAATATAATGAATGTAAGTATAAACATAAAAATTTAAATATAATATCATAATTAATTATAATTTATTATTTAATTTTGAAATTTAAATATGTTTTCAATTTTTAATTTATATTTTCAATCTGTGTTAATAATCTAAAATGGCATCGTCCATGGATATCCAAATCCTTGAAAGTGATTCAGATATGGAAGATTCAATGGAAGAAAATGTACTTAATAGCTCTAATAACGTTTTTCCATTCCCTAAATTTGAAAAATTTTTTTAAATAAATATTAAAACAAAATCTGGATTCAAATTCATGTGCTTAAAATGTAAAAAAAATATATCATCAAATCAATCGAGTAGCTATAACCTGAAGAAACACCTAAAGGTAAATTGTTATTTTTACATTATAATAATATTTATTTTATTAGACTGTTCACGCCAATTGCTATAAGGAAATAGAGAAACATATAAAAAAATTTGGTATAGGAGAATCTTCATTCAAAAAGACAAATACTATCCAAACCAAATTAACGGATAATAAACATGCCAATATTTCACAAAAATTGGCTGATAAAGTTATTGTTGATTTTATTATTGACACAGTTCAGCCAGTGTCTTTGGTTGATAATCCATCATTTACTCTGATGATTAAAACTTTATCCCCTGGCACAACAGTTTATGTCGCCAGACACTTATGAATAAAATAGCCGACAACTTCAAAGTGATGAAAGATGCTCTAATAGTAGAGTTATCAGATATATCTTATGTATGTACCATAGCAGATAGTTGGACACATAACAGAAGGTAAAAACTTATTTATATTTATAAATTGATCTGATTAAATATTTTTAGAGCTTATTTGGGAATCACAGGCCATTGGTTAGACCCTAGGACTTTAAAAAGAAGATCTGTTTTTTGAAATTAAAGATGATTTAATAGAAAATCCAATTGATATTTTTTTTCAATCAAAAAATATTGAAATGAATATTTTTGATAATTTTTCATATATTAAAAATTTATATATAAAATTTAATACCCCCTTGCCCTCAAGTGCTAGTGTCGAGAGATTATTTAGTAAAACAAAGCTTATACTTTCTGATCGTCGCTCTAGACTTGGGGATGATAATATTGAAATGATATTATTATTAAAATGCAACAAATTAAAATAAATATTTATTTATATTACTTATTTTTTTATAATCTAAACTGACTATATTTTTATATTTATAAATGTTGATTTTTATATATTATTTATTATACATTTACATTATAAGAAAAAAAAAAAAAAAATTTGTTTCATTTGTTTCTAAATTTTTTTTTATAAAAAGTAGCTTAAAAGTAGCTAAAGCTACTTTTGAAAAAAAAGTAGCTAATAGCGCGCTACTTTTTTTGACAAATAGCGAAAGCGGTAGCGCGCTACTTTTTTTGACAAATAGCTATTACGGTAGCGCGCTACTTTTAAAAATAGCGTTTAACAACTCTGTCAGAGACCTTCATAGGATTAATTTTTTGACCAAGCCCGGCCCAGGCCCGCAGTAAAAAAATTTATTAGGCCCAAGTCCGGCCCGGCCCAGCCCTAGTTATAAAAATTCCCAAGCCCGGCCCAAGTCTATGATAGGTTTCAAAAAAATTTCCTAAACCCGGCCCAAGCCCATATCCAAAAATTAAATTTATTTAATGAAAGTAAACAATATTTAAATATATTTAGGCGATCTTTTGTTTACAATACTGAAATTTATTATTATTAGAAGAAAAAAGGCAATATTTCTTTAAATTAGCAACTGTTTTAAATAATCTAAATTTTAATTTAATAATTTTAGGCGCCCAAGCCCGGCCCAAGCCCGGCCCAAGCCCAGCCCAAGCCCATTTTTAAAAAAAAATTTAAATCCAGGCCCGGCCCAGGCCCGCTAGAAAATATAATATTAGGGTCAGGGGCCGGCCCGGCCCATTAAGGTCTCTGATATATATTAGTGTCACTGTCAGTGTTTTTTCAGCCAATGTTATTTTTCAACTTTAAATCATATTTAGAGCTTGCTGGAAATGTATTCAAATATGTTTAGAAAACCTAGTCTGTAATTTTAAGAAAATTTTGCCATAAACATTTGAATGATCACTCATAAAAGCTTAAATAAAATAATGACAGATTATTTTTAAAAATTTTTTCGAGGTTTATTTAAATTTTATAATATAAAATACAAAAATTATAAACATTTTTTAATAGGGAAAGGGCATTTTTTGTCCGGCGATGTATAAACTAGTGATCTGCATCGGGTCTAATTATTCAAGCCCGGCCCGATCCGGCCCGAAATTTTTTTTAAAAAATTTACCGACCCGGCCAAGCCCGAATTTATTTAAATATAGAAATTAATTTTTATAATTACTCAAAATAAAAGACATATGTTATATGTCGTTTAGTTTCAATAAATAAAATCAAATATTTTATTTTACATAAAAAATTCAATATAAAATTGATAAATTTAGATATATTTAAAAAAAATTCTAAGGTCCGACTCGACCCGGTCCGAATTTTTTAAATATTAGGCTCGGCCCGAACCCGATGATTTTAAATAGAATTAGGCCAGGGGTACGGGCCGGGCCTAACTTTGCAGATCTCTAGTATAAACCATTATATAAAATATTTTTTATTATGAAAAGAAAAGAAAAAAAAACAATTTTGTTTTTACATGGCGAAACTTTACAGATTGATTCAAGATGTCCGATTTTCATTTTATTCCAAGCTACAATTTTGGCACTTCTTTTTCACGATTTTCCCCTCATTTAATTCATTTTTATTAAAAAAAATTTATTTTAAAAAAATCATCCTTTTTTAAGAAATGATAAAAAATACGTTTTTGTTTAAAGGTTTTAACTTTTTTCCCAATCCTTCTACGAACAGAATCAATTTAAGGTAAATATGAGCGGAGTGTTCTAGACAAATATATAAATAAGTAAATAATGGTGTATTTACTAAATTATCCTAAATTCATTACAAAGTGAGGGGGGAGGGGGCTCAAATGTTCATCCAGTTTGTAACAAACCCATTACACCATAAACAGGGTTGTAAACATAGTCCGGACCTCCGAAACCGGATTCTGGACTTTCCCAGCCACATGGAACTTAAATCCGGGCCTGAACCCAATTTTTTGCAGGAATTTTAATCATTTTATAATGAGTGATTTTTTTAAAACAAAAGTAAAATGTAATAGATTTGGTCTAAAGTTGTGTTTTCTTCTAATGTATTAAACTGTCAACTTGATTATCATTTTTCAATTTTTTTTACCAAAATTTTTATATACAAAGCTATTGAAGAACTTTGTCAAAATACTTACTAAATTAATTCTATTCGATCGATATGTTGGGTAATATACTAGTAAATCTTATTTATAACGGAAACGGGTCGAACTCGACCCTGGATTCGGCCTGCCTGGACCGATAATTTTTTAAAATTTCAACCCTGACCCTATACCTAACCCGGTAAATATTTTGTAGAACCAAAATCCTGGATATAACAGGTCTTATAATTATGTTTTTGTCCAATTTTACGCATACCTATCTAATAATAATAATAATAAATGGCAGTAATAACTTTTTAACCCATGAAGAATAAAGTTATTAAATTTTGTGTGAAGATATTTTTTTCTAAATAATTTGAAATTATCATATGACGCCAAAAAAAAACGTTTTTACGCAAAAATTATAAAAAAACACCTTCAGTATGTTTTTTTTTATTTTACAAAAATATATTTATCCTAATCATTTAAAATTTTGTTCATGTTCCAATTTCAAGTATTAACTATAAAATAAAGGATATTGACTATTTTACCTAGAAGTCAACAAAACTATTTGTCTGATAAAGACTCTAAAAAATGAAAATTCTGATATATCAACTATTGACACCGATTTTATAAAGATTAATGAGGATGAAGTTTAATAAAAAGTTCGTGTATTACGTGCAATAAAGTTATAAAAAGTCACAAATTTAATAATAAATGGATGTGCATTCCAATTGTGCTGATTTTTATACATGTATTGATTAGTTTCTAATTCAAGATGAAAAATGTAAAAATTATAATATTTTTTAAATAAGACAATAAAATTTTGTCCAATTTTGCCTTAACCTAGACATTTTACTTTGAGAAGAGGGGTAAGATAGCGAAAATGGCACACCATAATTTAAAATAGGTTCTAAACGATTATAGGTAGAGAACTATATTTTTTTAATATTTTCTAGTTGAGGAATTGGGTTACACATTAGTTTATAATTGTTTTTTTAAATTTCATGGTAAAATGTAAAATACCAACCTTTTCACCCCGGTCATTTTTATTTTGTAAATAATATTACAAAAAACATTTTTGGTCATTTTATAAAGTATAATAAATAAAAAATTTAGTAAATTCTGCAACAAATGTTTATTAAGCTTAGAAAGCAACTATTGTTATCGCCAAATTTTAACAATAAATTCTATTATTAACGCTATAATTTTATAAGATCTATATAATAATAAATAAATAAAATGAATTCGTCGCGATTCTATTTAAAAGCATAATAATGTTTTATAATTTAAAACCTTATTTAATATAAATAAGGTGAAGATCTTAATGATTTCCTCAAAGATGAATAGGGAAAAGTGTAGTCATACGCTGTCGACGCATAATAATAACTTGTTTGTGGATAGCTATTATAATAGGAGCTGTATTTATCAGGGTATGCACTGTAGGATAAATTGACCGATGAAGGATTAAAGTTATGACTAAGAGCCCTATAATAATAGTAGTCATCATAATAAGTTGATTGAGAACGAGATAGAGAGCTTGGATAACTAGATAAATAAGATGAAGGATAATAAGAGCTGGAAGCAATAGAAGGATAGTAGTAAGAATTAAGATATCTGCTTGTCGCATACGGTGAAGTTGTATAATATTTGGAAAGATAGTTGCTAGTGTAAGGGTAATAATCGTAATAACTGTTCAAATAATTTCTAGAAGTTGTGTATGGATAAGAAGAGGTGCTGATACAAGGAGACGAATATGAAGAGGAAGGGTAGTAATGGTAATAACTGGAGGTATAAGTTGTGTAAGGAATCAGAGTCGATCTTGGATAGGTGTACGATGAAGAATAAGAGTAGGGACTACTGTACCCATATCTAGGATACGTATAATTGCTACTGAGATACCGACTATAAGGAGAATAGCGACTAATATAGCTACTGTAGGGATAATAATAGCTATAGATTATAGAGCGAGGATAATAATTAAAATAATCATTTATTTTGTGATCCAAATGTGAACTGGTTCTAACACTACTTAGTAAGGAGCTCGGCGTTATATAAGGAATAATGTCGGAACTAAGTTTCGATCCACCATAACTAAGAACTTTATGTGTAGGAGCATATTCATTTAGCTTAGGACTCACCACATATGAACTAGGTGTGTAAATAGGTTTAAATTTTATTTCAAATGTCCAAGGTTTATAACCTAAATATGATTTAGGATAATGATGTCTCAATGGATGAATGCTTATATAAGAGGAAGAGTCATAGGTTGTTAGGGGACGATATATTTCTTCTTTCTATTTAAATAAATAAATTACAATGAAAAATAGCTATAAATACCTCGATGGTAGTACTGGTTGTAGGGCGATAATAAACTAGTGCAGCAGGCATATTTCAAATATTTATTAATATCCTTTATTATTTTAGCGATTCGTGGATTATTACAATTGGCAAAAATTTTAAAGCTATAAAAAATAAAATTTTATCTATTAAGTATTTTATTTATATTTTTTTTGAAGGCTTATATTGATAATCAAAAGTTGTTATTAGTTGGCATTTATTTCAAATAATTTATTTAACAATCATTTTGATCAATATCCAATAAATAAGACCTCGTAATTGAATTGACTGAGCTTTGAATATAAAAATAATAATAAAAATGAGGCAACCAATAAATTATTGGAAGGATACATGATCTTATATAGTAATAGATGTCCGTTTATTATGACTTCAGACAAATTTTAACATTGAAATCACAAAAATTATATAAAAAAATTGTAACAGATGCATAGAACAATATTCACATTATTTGATTTGACAAAAAAAATACAATAATATAATTTATAATAAAGTATCAATGCTTAAACTATTTTAATATTATAAAAAATTGACTTCGCGAGTTAAACTTGATAAATAAAATTAAATATATAATTTGCAAGAAGAATATCAAATTTTTGTCAATAATTTTATTTATACATAAATGTGATTAAAATGAAAAAAATATATGCCATAATTTCAATTTAATTCCTTCTTTTGGCTGCTTTTCCAAGAAAACTATTTATAATCAATTTAATTGTAACCATATGGCCTAAAAATAACACATTTATTTACAAGAAAAATCTTTATAATTATTTTTAATAATTCATCAATTTCAGACATTTTTTGATAAATTAAGTAAAATAAATCCTTCTTTACTTTATTATTTTTGTATGCAATTTCTCTTTTTTATTCCTATTTTTTTACCCTTATTCTATTTTTAAAAATTCTTCTTATCCTTTCTTTTTTAAATGTAAGAATGCAAATTTATAACGCTAAATCAGCTCCCTTACCTGCTCTTGTCTAGTGTTGCAAAACGGCTCATTTTGAACCGATTTTTAAAATTTTAGCCAAAAAAATATTGCCTATAAACCTCCAGATAAAATATGTTTAGAGCTTTGTTCCTTCTATGAACAAAATCTTCAGGCTTGCGTAATATTTTTGAAAAATTGAATTAGTCGTTTTTAAAAATTGGCGCTAAACGAGCCGTTTAACAACACTATTCTCGTCCTAGGAGGCGAATTATTTTCGATCTTTTTCGAGTCAGTTAGAGGACTAATTAATATTAAGGGAAGGTACTTCAGTTGGTTTTATTATAAAGTAGAGGAGATTGGGGTTCAACGACAGAGTAAAAAGGTAGTGTCTCATAACCTTTCTTCCCCGTAACAGGATAGATTCAAATTCTAGAATGTGTATTCTTACAATTAGGTTCAGTAATTTTTTACAAAATAGAATTTTTGCCCTTTTTTAAAAATATTTTTTCAAATGAATCAAGATTTATATTCTGGGTATACTGAATATGTTAGCAAATAAAAGTAATATCCGAAATTTACATCTTATATAGAAGTGGTTTTAGAGTTATGTAAGTGAACTTCAAGGCATTGTTGTATAGCGGTAGGGATGAAAAATATATTTTGACTTATATTATTTAGCACAGAATAAAAACAGAAATGCTCATAAATTTTTCCTTAATTGCTAAAAAAATGCTAAGAATTTTTTACTAAATTTCACATTGAGTTTTCTTAAAATTTAACTATTTTCTGAGCGATTTCTTTAGTTATATCCCTGAGCACTTAATTCCTGAAAAAGGAAGTTATTTTATCTAGGTATTATCCCAATATTCAGTATTTCTTCTGAGCGTTGAGTATTTATTTAGCGTTTAAGGATTCTTTTTTTTGAGCATTTCAGTTTTAATACGATTAATTAGCAACCCATTTTGATTAAATATTGAAAAATAATAAAATAGAAAAGGGGATATAATTGTGTTTGATCCATTATGTGGAGAAAATTATAAAGCTAACCAGAATGGGTGTTTCTTTACTTTTTATATGCAGTGACGTATTTGAAATATTTCCCAATTGCTTTTCATACTTATTTTATTTTAACTTATATTATGAAATATTGAAATATTAAAATACTAAGTGCCCCCCCCCTTCCCCAAGTATAATCCTATAACACTAGTTATGTGTACAATATGCCAAATTTTATCATATATTGTGTTGCTTGTAATGGAAGTAAAATATATCATTTTTGCCATAATTGACAAAGGTGAGATTATCTATGCCTCATAAAGTATAAGAGGCTGGGAATTAAATATTATTTTATTCTGTGGCCAACGGACGAAATAATTATTAAAGACGAGTCCTTTCAATTTCTTCACCAATATTTTACGAGAGATATCCTTCATGCGCGATACACTATCCCGCCTCCCACCCAACTCACCAAGCTTTCTTTTTATTAAAGAACTAATTCTAATTCCAAGAATTTTATATTCACACCGATCATCAGGAATCTTTCAATACGAGGTCAACCTCGCTGCGCATGAACTCGAGATTAAACGCCTCATAGAAGATATACTCAATCTTAAATTTGGAGACCTATCTTGGTTAAAGGCTACCTTACCAACCAAATCCGGCGGCATTGGCATAAGGTTGCCTTCCCTACTTTCCGTTATGGCATTCATATCCTCTCACCTGTCCGTCGAGCCCATCATACACACACTCACAAAACATCCTGCCCCCTTACTCCTATAGGAAATTGATCTATGAAAGTCCCTCTCATTAGTCGATCCTCCATCGTCGGCATTACAGAAGGATTGGGATAAACCTCTAGTTGGCAACTCCGTTGCATACATTAAATAGAAGAGCCAACCCGAGGACTATTCTCTACTCTTCTCCATTTCCGCAGATGGATAAACGAATTTACAGAGGCTTTCCCATCGCGAAATCTTGACCAGCTCCTAAGCAATGATGAACTACGTCACGCCATCTGTCTTAGACTTAATTGCGATATGGTAATACCTTCACATTGTATCTTCTGTCAAACGTCCGTCAACTCCAAAGGCCGTCACTCTACTGCAAGCGCTGTAGAGGCAGATTAGGCATTCAAAATGCAATGATACCATTGCCAGGGCCTTAAAATCCGCCGGTATCCCATCAACCCTCAACCTACTGCCCTTTACAATTCCGATGGTAAGCAGCCCGATGTTCGACTATGATCCCTTGGAAAAGTGGGGAATTCCTAACCTGGGATTTCTCATGCATCGATCCTCTTGCCCCTTCCAGTATAAATAGAGATGGATGCCGAGGCAAATAAACTAGCTAAATATTCGCCATCGCTTCCAGTCAATTATACATTCCTACCATTAATCGCCACGACTCTAATGTCGTTCGGCTCTCAATTTTTTCAAAAACACCTGGAGCGCCCCTCCTTTTTAAAAATGAGGAGCGGGAGCTAGCTCCTTTAAGGGCTTGAGTGGAGGAGCGCCGCTTCACCGCTCTTTTAAATTTAAGGTATAAATTAAATTATTTTTTAAATATTAATATATTTGTTAATTAAAATTCAATAAAAATGAAATTTTATTTTGTTTAAATTTATCTATTAATAAATGTTGAGCCGAGTTTTATATTGGTTTTTCATCTAATCATTTTAAATATTAAACATCAAGTTTTTCATTTTTATATGATACTATATACATTTTTATTAATGGTATACATTTATTATCTAATTTGTTCTAATAAATTTAATATATTTAAAAATGTTTGAAAAATATATAATAATACTATTAAAAAAAAGAACGGAGATGGTGTGACGCAGGGAAACAAAAATGAAAAAGGGAAGTAAGCGTTGTCTATGATAGCTCTTTGGCTAGAAGGCTACCATAGAAACTGATATAATTAGCTTTGTGAATCGCTATGGATAATCGTTGACGAAGAAAAAAACCCTCTCGGGGTTCTTCTGAGAGTTTGCTGATTTGTGATCCTAATTTTTTGAAAAATGCTAAGGCGAGTTTGCCAAAGGTGCCAAGAGTGGTTGATATGATTGGGATGAAGCAATGATCGTTTATTACTTCTGTGTATTTAGAAATTTTAAGTTGTTCCTTCTGGTCAAGGATGTTGATGGCGTGGTTGGATGGGGCCAAGGGGTCAATACAGGAATAGTCCCATAAATTTTTTTGGACTTGTCATATTAATACTCATTTTATAAATATCTAATAAAAAATAGTTTTTGATATTATGGATTTAGAGATCATAGAAGTAGAAATCGAATTTCCATTTCCATCATAAAAAAAATATTTTAAACTTCTAAAAGATGTTGATCCAAATGATCAAACAAATTCAAGGGCAAAATGCCTTTTGTGTTTAAGTAAAAGTATTTCATTTTCAAAAGTGAGCAGCTTTAACCTAAAAAATCATCTAAAAGTAATAAACTTTTCTTTCAAATACAAAATGATAACTATATTTTTTTTATTTTGGAATAATTTTTTTAAAAATGATTATAATTATTTTTGGGCAATTAATTATAGTTAAGCCTGGGTTGTTAGATATGTTGCTTTTTTAAATATATTTTAATATTTATTTTAATTTTCTCATTACTTGTTCAACCTCCCTTTTTATACCTGAATTAAAAAATATCTTTATAGAATACAATACCCCGCTTCCCGCTAGCGCTTATTTAGTATTGCAAAACGGTCTTAGGGGAGAGGCGTGGATGTTTGTTAGATTCTAATTTAGAAAATTTATTACTTTTAAAGGCTAATGAAAGATTATAAATATTTTGATAGATCATTTAATATAAATAAAACTTTTTGATAAAAAATATGATTTTGTTTCGTGTACCTTCTAAAAAAAATGAAAATCAAAGGAGCGGTTATGGAGTGGCACTCCATTACTTGGAGCGGGAGCTAGCTCCTTTTAAAAATGTAGTAGCGGGAGCGATAGCTATCCTTTTAAGAAGGTGGGAGCGGGAGCTAGCTACTTTTAAAAAGGAGCGTTAACAACTCTGAAATTAGGTAATTTACGCGCCAAAATTTTTACATTTAAATCGATAGCCAACAGAAGGTTTTTATGATATAATATAATTAATATTTTTATGAAGAAAATGCCAATTGACAACAATTTTCTAATGCAATTTTTCTTATACAATTTTTTAATTAAATATTGAAAATATGATATAGAAAGGATTAGTTATTTCCCATTTAGGAAGCTAAGGGAGAGCAAGTGACTTGT